GTTGTGCTGGGGCTCAACCAGCACGTCCCGCACCAGCCCAGAGCTGGCAGGAGCCGGCCCCGGCTCCCAGGCCAGATCCCCCTAATCCCCGATGGAGACTGACCTGCAGCAGGAACATTTAATGGCATTTTGGGAGCATTAACTCTTCCGGCTCTGGTGAGAGCCTCAGCCCTGAGGGGGCTTTGCAGCCCCTGTGAAACAGCAAACCCGAGGGCGTTTTGCCCCGGGGAGGAGCTCAGCACCTCCATTCTCCCCTCTTGGGGAGCACGTGGTGGAGAGGACAAAACCGGTGGGAGCCCTTTCCTTTTTTTGTTGGGATTTTTCTGTGGTGAGGGTGACCCAACCCAGCCCCACTCCAGAGCTGCTTTCACATGGAATGGTTTGGTGTTCCCCCAGTCTGTGGCTCCTTGGAGAAGCCCTTTGGCCCCAGACCCGGTGATTCGGGGGACCCTCAGCACCCCCACGCTGGTGTGAGCAAGGTGCACCACAATGCTCTGGCACGGTGACCTCCAGCCAGCAGCAGTGACAGTGCTGTGACCACCCCTGCCACCCCTGCCACCAGCACACAGCACTGCTGCTGCCTCGGGCTGCCCATGGTGATCCTGGGGCTCCCTGGGACCCAAACGCCAAAGCACAGCCAGGTCTGTCACCAGCTGGCCATGGCCATGCATGGAGGGCTGGAGTGTGTCCATGGCTGTGCCCTGAATCCCGTTCCACAGCCAAGCAGGCTCCCAAGGGTCCATCCAGCTGCAGATGATGAGGGAAGATTCTGCTGCCCTGGGACACTCGTGGGGAGGCTGATGTTCTGCAAACAGGGAATTGCATCAGGCCAGCCCAGCCAGGAGCTGCCAGGGCCTGTACCCTGCATGCCCTGGCAGCCTGAAAGCCCCAGACTGACCCAGCTGGCCCCAGGCACTCCCTGATCCACAAACCCACAAATTCCAGCTGGGAAGCAACATGGCAGATGTACAGCACCTTGGTCCCAGGGTGCAGCCCAGAGGCACAGGGCCACTTTGGGGTGTCCCAGGGTCCTTCCAGAGGAACTGGGGCAGGAGGGAAAGGGGAACAAGACCTGGAGCCCAACTTCTGCCCATAGCCATGTCTGAGCTCTGTGTGGTCACAGCATGATGCCAGTGCCAGGCTCTGCGTTGGTTCTTGCCCCACTGCCCCTTTCCAGAGGCAGAGGAGCAGTGCCAGAGGCTGGCATGTGTCACACCGGAGACCAAGGTGCCTCATGCCTGTGCTCAACATCAGAAGCTGCAAGGACAAGCCAGGAACCTTCACCTCAGTGGTGCAAGGCTGGATGGAGGAATGGCAGCGGCTGCACGGCTGGAAAAGCAGCTCCCAACAACTGGAAATCCTCACCCACACCTTGGGACCCCGACCCAGCCTCTTCTAGTGCTTCTTCAGCTGAAGGTGAATGACAAAGCAACTCTTCCCACCCTGACCAAGCCCACAGATATTCCACCACCTCAACAGCTCCCAGCTGTTCACCTCCATGTGTCCAGGCACCAACTGCACCCTAGAACAGGGATTTTTTTGGGTCACTTTCAAAGATCCCAGACACAGAGGGTCTTTAGATTTTATGGTTCATCTTCTCCCTCCAAGACAAGAAATTGGCCCAGCACTGTGTCCTGGAGGGAAGGGTGCCATGCTCCCCATCCCTGCTCCCACAACCTGCTGCACCCAGCAGGCTCCTGTCCCTCCAATGCACCCATGGGCAGCTGCACCCTCATTTTCACGCATCTTGCAGTTGTATGAAGGTCACCACCTCTTCCCAGCCTATGTGGGACAGTGGGACCAACCCAAGAAACCTCTCATCAGAAAGGTGAGTGCAGAGAAACACACTGAGTGACCAAAGCCCTGAATCATCCCAGAGCAACCTGCTCCCTCCTTTCTCCGAGGAGCAGAGCCTTGAAGCTCTCGCAGCCTTCCCAGCCGGCTCAGGCTGTGCAGTGTTTTCCTGCCCGGCTCTTCCCAGGCACAGCTGCGGCCCCGCAGCCCCCGCTGCTCCGCCCTAATGGGCTCCGGCTGTCCCGACCCCACCTGAAACCACACACAGCCTTTGTTTCGGCCCTGGGAGAGGGAACAGACACTTCCAGAACCCCCTGAAGAAAAAGAGGAAAAAAAAGGGCTGTGTGACTCTTCCCTGACCAGGCTTTCACCTTAGCTCCAGGGTTTTCCAGGCTGCAGACACGATCTCATTTCCCCCTGCCCCCTCCCAGCCCCACCAATTACTACTTAAGCTGTTAAAACAAGCGTGGCCAGTCTGGTACGAAGTGGAAAATCTGATCCTAGGGAAGTGAGAAGGCAGGGGAAAAGGGAGGTCAAGGGGAGGTGGGCTGGGAGAAGGGGATCAGACAAGAAGTCTCCCTCCACCCCAGGATCAAATCCCCTTTCTCTGGGGCTCCTGGTGCCTCCAAAGGCCACTTTGGTGTGACACCAGTGCTCCGAGCTCCCTGCAGCATCCCCTCCCTTTCAGTCCCATTTGTCCCGGGATGGCTTCCAGCTTGCTCCAGTCTGGGCTGCCACAGCGCTCGCTGCTCCCTCAGGATCACCCAGACCCAAAGAAGGGATTTAGGGTTTGACTGTACTTGTCCTGCCCCGTGGAGCAGGGACTGGGCACAACTCCTGGCAAACTGCTGGAGACCGTGGCTTCCTGCAGCCACCTACGGGACCAGCCCTGTTGGAGACGAGTTTGTGTTTCCTTAGGGCTCCACTACCCCAAATCAGTGGTTCTGTGAGAATCAATAATAGATTTCTGCAGATTTCTGCATCTACAGAACAGGAATCATGGCTTCCCAGAAAATGGAATTCAAGTTATTTTGTGGATGACCTGGAAATGGGAATATACACCTGTAACACAAACAGTCCCAAATCCCCATGCATGGGCAAAACCACCACCTTTTTCCCTTCAGCCTCTTTCCAGCCCACACAAAAATGGATACTTCTCCTCTTTTCAACTGGTAGTTCAAAACAAACAAAAAGACTTTAATTTATACAAAACAAAACCATGTAGAATCAGTTAAACAACACTGACTGTACAAAGGAATAAAAAAATAAACGGATAGTCCAAAAAAACCCAACTCAGGAATGGTACAAGTGTTGGAGAGCAGCTACAGACTAGTGTTGACATCAGATGCAAGAATCTTTTCCTTTTAAATTAAAAAATAAAAAAAGTTTGTTGCTGGGCAATCACTCCAGGGAAATCTTCCATCCCCACTCCAGACAGGATCTGCGAGACTTCACAGGGTGACAAAACCTAAACCAACCACAGGGAAACAGCGTGGGGAGGTGGCACACGTGGCACAGCCAAACCAAAGCAGAGGTACAGCGAGTTTTGAGCCATGCAGCAGCTTGGTGATTCCAGGAAGGATCCCTTTCTCCCTCTGTGTCCCGCACACCGGCCGGGCCGGGGGCGATCCTGGAGGAGCCGCCCTTGGCGGTGCCGGTCACCTGTTGGCCGTATATCCCTGTGCTGCTGAGCCAGCGATTGTCTTCTGCTGCTGTTAAGTGATGGGAAACAGGTGCCAGCCATCCAGACAGGTTCTCCAAATCCCCCGGCCTTCGTGCCACCGGGACAGCCCGGCTGCGGCTTTGCTCTCGAGCCAAAGCATCCCTTCAAAGGATTCCTCTCCCCCTCCACCTGCCTGGGGTTTAATTCTGTCCTCGCTCACTTGAGCTGGGTGATAAAGCACGAGAGAGCCGAGCCAAGAGACCTGCCCATGCTGGGCTCTGCAGGGAGGGGAGGGGGAAGCCTCTGGCACCCCCAAGTCGGCTTGGGAGGGAGGGAAGCGGTGTCCCCACAGGGGGACGTGTCCCTGCTGTCCCTCCTGTCCCTGCTGCCTGGACACAGCGGGTCCGTCGGCCGCGCCGGAGCTGCAGCGGCTTCATCCTGCCCACACAGTGCCCCAGGCTGCCTGGAAAGGGGGAGCACAGCAAGCGGATCCCAGGAGGAGATGGCAGCACTGTATACTTCACTTACTACCACCCTACTCACAGTCTACACACCCTGACCACCTGTGAGAACCTGCCACCAAAGCCCAGCCCCACTGCCAGGCTCCCTTAGCTTTCGGGATAAGGGCTGGGTGCTATTTCTCAGTTTGCAGGTGAATTTCCAGCACAGGTCAGCTATGGAACAAAGCCAGAGAGGCAGGTGCACTTGCTCGACAGAAGATCCATCCCAAGCTCTTGCCCCTCCAAGATCCAGGAGCCATGCCATGGAGCAAAGCAGCTTGCTCTCCCAGTCTCCTGGGACTGCTCCAAGAGCCAGGTGATTTTACCACTGAGGGACCTGGAGATGGCCATTTCCTCATCCCAACCTTCCACCTTCCCAGTCCCTGCTCCTTCATGCTCCAGTGGGAAAAGCCACTTCTGTCCTTTCCCACTTTCATCCAGGAGGAGCCACAGCAGCATGAGCTCAGGCAGCATCTTTGGGAAAGCAAAGCTGGAAGCAGCCAGGATCCAGGAGCTGTCATGGATAGAGGGCACTAGAAGTGATGGATGAGACTTTGCAACAATAAGGGAAAAAATTCAGCATTTTTCCCCTGCTTTAGGCACAATGCTCCCAGCCCCTGCTCCCAAATCCCCGATGAGAAAGCACAAAGTGAGCAAGGCCTCAGTCTGACCCCAGAGCTGCCTCTTCCTCCTGCCTGCCACAGCACTCCAACCCCCAGGACCCTGGCCTCGCTGCTCTGCTTCTCCAAGCACTGCCATCCCACCCTGCCTTCAGCACTCACAGGTTCTAGTGAATGGTAGGAATAGGGCAGCTTGGGGCATGTTCCATGCCAATCATCCTTTCCTTCTGCACATGTAGTATTTAAAAGCACCAGCACGAGCCCAGAGGTGAGGGAAAGTCTCTTAAAGCATTTATGTGTTTTCATTGGAAAATCCTCCACTTGTCCCCTTTGCTGACACTGGGAAAGTCAATCCAGTGCTTGTATTTACATGGCTGCATAAAATTTTCCCTGACTGCTTCTTAAAAAAACCCTTAAAAAACAAGTGATATTTATATATATGTATAATATTTACATAAATAAGTGAAGGTGGCGAACGGAGCGCTGCCTTCCTCTTTCCAATTGGCCAACTCTTGCCTTGTTTTCTGTTTTTTTGGCAACAGCAGGTTAACATCCTGGTGAAAACTGTCATTAGTCCCCCGTCCCTGCTTCTTTTTGTCTACATCCAATGACCACTATTGCACCAGCAATCTGTTCAGGAGGCCAAGAGTTAAAGTTGCAGCACAGACTCTCCTTGCCTACTCCCTTAAGCCTCTCAATCTTCCATTAAATCCATTGCTCCATTGAGACTGGATGAGCTTTTTTTCCCCTTCCCCCCTCCCTAACCCGGCAGCTGCTGAATTTTCCACCCCAGGCCAAGAGGCAAAGCCCAAAGCATTCTTGGAGGGTCACTTGGCAGATCCTCTCCCCGCCAGCGCTGCGGGATCCAGCCGGCACCATGCTTCTTCCTATGCCAAGCCAAAACGTGAGCACATTCCCAACGCTCGTGCGTGCCATTGGAAAAGCAACCGTGGCCCATCTGCAAGGATCCAGCGGAGAAGGGTTCAGTGTGCAAACAGCTGTACACGGGCGGGCGGGCGCGGATCCGACAGAAGCTCGGGGTGCCCATCCTGCTAAGAGATCTTGCAGTTGTTGCGCGAGCAGTTCTGTGGGGGGCTCTGGGGCGGCCGGATGGATTTGGATCTCTTCAAGCTGTTCCCTTTGCTGCTGCTGCCGCCCCCGCTGCTGGCCAGGGAATAGGAGCGGCCGTGCATCATCACGGCGTTCATGCCGTTGGCCATGGAGAAGGATTTCAGGTGGCTCTTGATGGTGACGGGCAAGGGCAGCTTGTCAATGAGGTGCACCGGGGTGCAGGACACGATGGCTCGGCAGCACAGGTCCTGTAAGCTGAACACTGCGGGGACAAAGGACCACACGGTCAAGGGCCAGGAGAGCTCCTGGGCTGCCCTTCCCCACAACCATTCCTTACACTGCACAGCTCCAGCTCCTCAGGGAGATATGTCAGTAATGATTGCACAGGAGCCCGGAGTAGGGAGGGGGGTATTTAGGGCAAAAGCTTGGGAAATCAAGGTGAGCTTTGCTGTTGGAGGTTGGTGCTTTGCCAGACACCAGCTTTGGTGTGAACACAGGGTTAGGCACTGCCAGCCCTGCTCTGCTCAGCACCCGGGGCTGGCAGAGCCTGGCTCACATTCCTGACAGACACTTGGCTTCTCAACCCATCCTCTGGCAACCAGGGCATGCCTGGCAAAGAGGCAACAGGGTCAGCAAGTCCTGAAACAGGACAGTGTCAGCTGGGATCTGCAGAACCCCAGGGCGCATAGACCCCAGCAAGCCAGAGCACTCAGAACATCTCTCTGGCCGGCCCAGTTTCCCAGCATCCTCCCAGCCCAGCCTGCACCGTGTGAGCCTGCCTGCCTGCCTTGGCAAGTCCCTCTCCCTGCCGGGGATTCCCAGCCAGGGGCCACACGAGGGCACTCGTTATCCTCCTGCCTGCCAAAGCCATTCCCGAGCAGGCCGGTCCCCACTCCCTGCTAGGGAGCCCCCGTTCATGGCATCACAGAACCATTTGGGTTAGAAAGGCCTTCTAAGACCATCGAGTCCAACCATTCCCCCAGCACTGCCAATGCCTCCACTAACCCGTGTCCCCAAGAGCCACATCTGCATCATTTTTTGAACACCTCCAGGGATGGTGACTCCACCACTGCCCTGGGCAGCCTGTTTAAGGGTCTGACTACCCTTTTTGTGAGGAAATTTCCCTTAATGTCTAATCTAAATCTCCTCTGGCACAATCTGAGGCCATTTCCTTTTGCCCTTTCCATTCCCAAGCAGGCAGTCTGCAGTCTCAAATCCTCTGGAAAAGATGCAGGAAGGTCTGTGCATTCAGCCCATCCCTGCGACCTGCAGACCATGGCACAGCAGCCAGGCTGGGGACAGGAGCCCAGGCAGAAAATTTGGTGGCTGGGGCTGGCAAAAAGGATTTTCTCACCCCAATGAGCAGGGGCTGAAGGTCCATGTGAGAGCAGGACACCCCACAAACACAGATCTGCTGCTGCTCAGACTGCAGTGGGACACACTGCTACCTCCAGCCAGGAATAACGTGGGAAGTGAGATTATTCTGCTTCAAACTCAACAGGCTGAGACATAACATGGAATCTGCTTGTGGTTTCCCTCCTTGTGGCACACATGCCTGGATATATGGAATAACCCAGCCCACTGCTGCATGCTGACAGCAGGGATGAGATTTAGTCCTTTTCAGCTCCTTGGGCACACTGCTTCCATCCAAAACAAAGACAGGCTCAGGCAAGGGAATGGAGTGAGGTGCTTACACTTGGATTTATCCCACACAAATCTTTGATTGAAGTACTTTCAATGTGGGAGCTTATTTGCCCTCAGCCTCATCCAGAGTAAGTGGAAAGGCAGAGGATGCCCCAGAGCACTGCAGCTCCCAGACACGCTGAGCTGCCCTCTGGAGCTGCCCATCCCATGCCAGCACAGGCAGCTCCTGGCTCAGCTTCAGCTTGTCTGGCCTGAGGCATTCCCCCACGTGGGGAGGGTGCAGCTCCCACAGCTCCCACCCAGGCAGCCCCAGGGCCCCCCCAAGCTCCCTCCTGCCCACTGACCTCGGTTGGGTCTCCAGATCTTCTCCATGCCGTGGCGCATGAGGACGATGCGGGACAGCTCCGTGAAGGACTCGATGACGTTGAAGTTGCACAGGGGGCTCACCTCGAAGAAGGTCATGCAGTTCTTCTCGGCGTAGGCGCGCGCCTGCTCCGTGGGCACCTGCCGCTTGAAGGCCAGGTGCAGCCTGTTCCCCACCAGGATCCGGGGCACACCTGGGGCGTGCTGCAGCAAGGAAAGGGGTGAGGAAATCAGGGCTACAGCCAGCGTTCTGCTTAGCTGCAGTAGCAGTGAGGGGAAAACAAACAGAAGCTGCTCTGTGGCTGAGGGACTGCCCAGCAGCACCTCTCTGTGGTGGGGCAACTCATTTGTCACCTCCCATTTCTGAGGGAACTTTCCTGTCTTTTCTTGACCATTCCTGAGCCATTTCCTACTACTCCAGATTTACAAAGAGATGGAGGGCAGACATTTATTGCTTTGCTCCACTTATGACTGCACTGCCATCGTGTCCCCTCCACAGCAGAGCTGTCCCCATGTCAGGTAACACCTTGGGTGATCCCTCCCCATGTCTCTGCTGTAGATCATTGCATGGGTTCCTCCATTCACTCACCTCATCTATTTCCTTTATCCATCGGTCTATCCCATCAAAGGACCAGCGATTAGTGATGTCGTACACCAAGAGAATTCCCTGGTGGAAGACAATCAGAAGCAATCAGGAAGTTCCATAGCAGGGCAGGACACCCCTGACAGACCCCCATAGGCAGAAACCAAGAAGCAAAGGGACAGAACATTGCTCCAGCCACACCATTTGTGTGCTGATAGTGCAAAAACTGAGACAACAGGGTTGTGTTAATGCAGTCCCAGGTCATTAGGGAATGTTTTACTCTTGTTTTGGCTCTGGTATCCGGCAAATAATTTCCAAAGTTGTAGTTTCTACACAGGAGAAGGAACTGCCTTGGTGGCTGTACTGGAGGAGCAAAACACACCCTGCTCCTGTCACAACTCTGATGCAAACTTGCTGAGGCAGAAACACACCTTTTTTCTATCCCCTTACTGACAGCTGCAGTCAGTGGGAAGGTGGCAGCAGGACAGGAAGGAATTTTCAAGCACACCCCTCTTCACCAGAACCTGTGTCACTGTGAGCCCTTTGCTGACAAGGAGGAAGATGAATAAGGCTGGTAAGCACCACAGTATCTCCACAGACTGAGCTCTCAGGACTGGGATCCATCCTGACTTCAATGAAGGTGTTTCTATTGTCACTGCCACACTGGCAGAGAACAGGCCAGAGGTACCTACAGCATCCTCATGTTGACATCCACTGTCCCTGAACATCTCATCCATGACTTGCTTCCCAGTCACCTCCTGAGGAGCAGCACGTGGTGCTGGCAGCAGCACAGGCACGACTCAAGGCAGGAAGGACAAGGGACAGCTCTGAGGAGTCTCCATGTCACCCCAAGGAGGCTGGCAGGACCCAGGAGCGTGGCCAGACTGTTGGCCGTCACTCAGGTCCACAGCATCTCCCAGCAAATGAGCTTCTCTTGAGTGTGAGTATATCTGAGGACAGACACAAGGAAAGTAGGCTGTGCCTGGCCCTGCAGGCACACAAGTCAGGAGCTGCTGCTTGGCACCAGTTGGGCACAGACAGCATTTATAGAATTGTCCTGAGCAGAGCCTTTCTGCAACCCTCCCATTATTTTTCTGACTTCTTGTCACTCTTCTTTGCAATAAAGGACATTCCAAGTGACAACAGGCACTCCAAGCTGACTTGGCAGAATCACAGTATAAGATTGCCTGGAATGGGAGCTAGGGAGGAGGAGATGATGCTGTGCTGAGAGACAAGGAACCCAGCTGGGAAGGCAGTGCTGGATGAAAGGAAACCCAGCAGCAGCAAGACTAAGGGCAAACCAAACCAGACCACTGAGCACCAGGCTCTGCAGAATCAGCCTTCCCTGAACCAGGGGCATGCTCCAGGAACAGCCATCCCCTTTAGCAAAGCCCCAGCATAGGCAGAGATCTTAAATTGGCAAAGGAAGGTGTCAGCTTTCAGCCCAGTCCTCTCTATGCATTGAGCAGAAGGAAGGAGAGAGCTGAGAGAGACACTCCCAGCATCAGCCCTGGACGAGTCAGGGACCTGGAGCACCCTCCTGTACCTTTGCTTACTGAAATTAAGGTGTGCTACACAGATGGGAAGCACAAGCTACCCAGTCCTCCCAAAGCCCAGCTGTACAGTCCCTGCTGCTGCCAGCCCCTGTGGTGAACTGAGAGCAGCCTGTGCAGGAGCTCTGTGGATGATATACTTCAAATTTACAAAAAAACCACCATCACCATGAAATGTGAAGCACACAGGAATGATCAACTGGCATCTGGGCCACAAAGGCACCTGAATGCTCCTAATGAAGTCACATCTGGAGCTGGCACTAGCACTGCTCCCCCCTCATGGAGCAGCAGCCGTTCCCGAACGCTCTGGGTGTGCCTCGACCTTGTCTGCCTTTCCCTCAGCTCCTCTGAAATAAGCAGCTCTCAAAGCCTGAACAATTGGATAATTTTATAACAATTCAGATGCTTCCTTGCAGAACAATTCTGATTCTTGAGCTGCACCCCCAGCCTCCCTGCCCACTGCTTCCAGCCCAGGCAGTCCCTCTCCAGGTGAAATTTGTTTTTTCTGTCCTTGCTGGCCTTCCAGCATCTCCACATCTGCACTTGTACCCCCACAGAAAGGCTCAAATGCACAAAAATACAAGGGCAGAGGGCACAAAAGGTAAGCCAGATGGGTTGGCTTGGTGTTTGACAGTCCAACACAAAGAGCAAGCCCTTCAAAGTCTGGGTTTGAGGCTGTTCTGTAGGACCTGAAGTGAGTTTACATAATGGCAGAAGTATCTATGGGGGGGGGAAAGTAGCCTCAGTTTCCTTCAAGGAAAGTCTGGAGCTCCTACCTAGAGTCTGTAATTTTACGTAGTCTCATTTCTAGGACAGTCCAAAAACTTCATAATCAAAAGAAATGGAGGTTGGTTTTGTTTTGGAAGACAGAAGGATCAGTTTCTCCTAGGTTTAGAGAGGAAAAGTAAGAAGGAAGTAATGATTTTCTGTAATTAAAAAATGCCACAAAACCAAAGATACTGCTTCTCAAGGACCCAATCTGGAAATACCTACTAGCAGGATACATCACATTTTAATTGCATATAAAAAAAAAAGACTGAGCTTTCTTTTAATTTTTCCTCTATTTGTTTTGATTTCCAGCTTCCACGGCTGTGTGTGAGAATTAATGACAGCCAGGAAACAACAAAGCAAAGGGTTTGATGAGCCCCTTCCAACACAAATGGCCAGCAAGATAAATAAAGTCTACTTGCTTCATTTCTGGATTGACAAGTTCCTTCAGCCAAGAAAAACAGACCCAAGACCTAGTTTGTGACGATTATTTCTGCCAGGAATATGCCTGAGGAGGAGAGAGTTTTTAAACTTGCTGGCAGCTTCTGCCTGGATCTTCTTTGAATAGGAATAAGGATAAAACTTGAGCAAAACCACACCCCTAATTTCTCAGCAGGGTAGAAGGTCAAGACCATGATTTCTAAACGTAAAAAATGACCCTCTGTCTGCCAGCTGAGCCTCCAAGCCACACCATGGCTCCAATATTCACATTTAGAGCCTCCATGGCTCCAGCACCCACATTTACAGTGCAAACTGTCCAGGAAAGCTTCTCAAAGGCCAAGCTGCCCTTGCCTTGCTCCATCCCCATCCTGCCCAGCTGGGAATGGAGCCCAGCTGTGCTGCAGCTCACAGGGGCAGCAAGAAGGCTGCTCAACCCCTGGCCAGCTGCTGGTGCTTCAGAGAACCTGACACAGCTCCCAAGGAGCACTGGCATGCTGCAGACACCACGTCTGCAGAGCATGCATCCCAAATGCACTGTCACTGCCATTGCTGCCCCAAGAGAACAGCACTCAGCCATGCACAGGGAGGGGGCTGGCTCCAGCTCTGCACACAGCTCCAAGTAAGACCTGTCAGGCTTTTTTAAAGTCTCCTTTGGAATAACATGCACAGAATTTTAATTTCCTCAACTCAACAAATGAACAGTTTCCCATTTGCAGCCTAATTTGTTCTCTAAGTGCTTAGATGGTTGTCAACACCCTTATTATCTCCACAGCTTTCAATTTTTAGTTTCACAAAGCCCTTTTGTACCATTATGTACCCAGGTTCCCACAGTATGGAGTGAAAAGCTCCACGCTCAGCTTCTCAGACCACGGAGACCTGGAGCCCTCACAAGCCTCCAAAAGCCTTCCTTCTTTTCCCCCTCAGTCTGCTTGCAGCTTCTCTGTAGGCAGAAGCTGACTGGACTCATCCCCAGATCCATCTGGGGTCTTTTCACAGTTGGATTTCAGGGTTCATTGCCACTCTGGTTTTGTTCCACACTACTGGGATTGGCACAGCCCTCAGCAGCCAGCGACAGAAATTTCCACATGAGTGCCTCCCATAGTGAACAAGGAATACAGACAGAGCACCAGTTATTGTATCCAGCAGCACATGTGGACACTTACTCTGCCAAAACCCAAATTTGCTTCCAGCAGGAGCTTACACAAAGATCTGTCCATGTAACTGAGGGGGTGGTGGGGAAATATCATCTCTGCCTGCTTGCAGCAGGTTTGGACCAGGTTTATAAGCAAAAAGCTTTTAAAGGTTAGGGGAAAATCAGCTTGCACACTCTCAATGCAAAGCAGGCTTGTCCAAAAAGGCCTCCCAGATGGCTTTAGGGGCTTCCAGCACACAAGAAGCTGCTAGGAACACTTGCACAACTGCCAAGGACCTCAGCCCAAGGCAGGCAGGTGACAGGGTGGCCAGGAAAGTGTCACTTGTTGATATTCTCCACTGATGGAAAAAAGGCTGCTGCTGAAGAAGGCTGAAGAGCCCCTCAGAGTGAACTTCCTGTCCCACAGGATGAAATAAACCTTAACCAGCAGGTCCAGTGCTGACAGGAACCAGAACACTCTGTCTCCTGCCTGCTCTTTCACATCTCCATTTATCGTGGCTTTCCAGCTGGCACCTCAGACACAGGCTCACGGACACCCTGCTGCCAAACCTCTTCCCAGCAGTGGGGGGTATTTATCACTGAGCTCTTTGATAAGTATTCTGCAGGCAGGGCAGGCTCCTCCAGCAGCTGGGCAATCCTGTCCGAATGACCCAAGGCAGGTGAGGTATTTGCAGTAACCAAAAAAGCCCTAAGGGAGGGCTCAATCTACACCTGAGTCTGCTGAGCTGCCAAAAATCCACCACCTTCCTGCATACTAAGAAGCCCTGAACAGGATAAACAGCAGCTCCTCAAACCACCTGCCTAAGCTGAACTCAACAATATTCATCATTTCTTTAGGGCTGCAGCTTTGCTGCAAGATAGGAGCATTTTATCACACTGTCTGGGAAGGGTTTGGCAAGCCACACTTTCAGAAACAGTTTAAATCACTGGCATATGAGGACATCAGGAATGATCCTGACACTGCTTCTTCCTGGCTGGATCAGGAAGCACCACCACAGCTCTTTCTCTCCTCTGGGATCACTCTTGGAATAGTTTGCATTTGCTCACAGCAGCCAGAACAGTCACAGCTGCTCCAACAGCCAAGATCAGCCAGCCAGCCCTGCTGCAATGACTGAGACCTGGAAGCCAAGCAGAAAAGGAACAGGAGTCCAAGAGCAAAAAAGGTTTCT